GTCTCCGGCGGTCTCAGTAGAAGTGTCCAGCCCGTACCTAACTGTCTACCAGACGGGTTCGTGGCTTGTTAGTCAATGATATGGTTCGTTAGATGGCAATAATATGCCTTCTTTTAGGTTTTAGTAGGCTCTTCTAGGTTTAGTGCGCAATGAGGAATTTTTTCGAAAATTAAATGGTATTTCATAGCAACTCTTAGTAAGATAAAAATGGTATGCAAAAAAATTTGGGCCTCAAATTACAAAATTTCTCAGGTAAAGTCAGCAAACCGAAAATGAATTATGAAAAATGTAAATAAGTGTATGAAAAAAATTCAGACCTCATAATGTTCGCATTCCGACTTCATTCCTTTTCTGAACCTAGCTGCTCGTCCCTCAGGTGGTAGAACCCATGGAGTGAGGGGGGGGGGGGGGGGGGGGGGAGAGGGCTAGGACGCCTCTTCCACCCACCGCTGTTACATTGTTTAACTGACAGGAAAATAAAAGTGTAAGATTTAAAAATATATATTTTTAATCACAGACTCTATGGGAGGTTTCCAGTTGCCAACATGCTGTGCATGGAAATGACGAACGGAGTTCCTATAATGTTAACAAGAGGCTTAAATCTCGAAAGCATCGCTAGTTCAACGATGCGACAAAAATACGTCACTCATCCGTAGATTGGTCCTAGACCACCACCTGAGAAAGTTTCCATATAGGTCGGGCTGAAATTTCATTATTGCTGAGTGTTGAGCTATTAGCAGAATCAGAAAAACGGAGCTATGCTTCGAGGGCTGTAGCATATAGGAAGCTGAGACAAATGCTTGGACAAGAGCTACAACAGAACAGATATATATACTGTAGTTTAGGCCTCTAATCTGATCTAAGCTTCTGATAGGCCTGGACTCAGGATAAAGTACTGTTAACCCTTTGACATCCGAATATTTTTCACTGAAACTTTTGGTTAACGGCCCTTTAGGAATACATGGATTCATGGACAGGGGCACTTGTGGCACATGCCTAAGGCCAACCCTTCATACAAGCATCGTTTCTGTAGTACATTCTTCCTGAATGTGCACATTCGAATGTAGATACCGAAGGGCTACTAAAGAAGCTCCAAAAAGCCGTCCTGAGTAAAGGGGGAATACAGGCTCGCCACTGCCTTCATTTTTTCACCTTTTCGCATTTTCTTCATCCAATCTCCGTCCTCGAGGCTGTGGCTTTTTCAGGTGAATGCACCGGTTGAGGCTACCAGTGACGCGTATGGAATATTTTTAACCTCCACTCAGTTATATGGAGATAGGGGGTTTCAAACCACCCCACCATCTCCATATAACTGAATGGAGGTAGAAAAACCTCAACGCGTCATTCGAGAATACCGTTAGGTGAGAGAAAGAACGCTTTTTTTAATCTCCCCTCAAGCGGCTGGATGTACATTGCACTCTCGTAATTTTATCACTTTCGCGATATGAGTGCCTCTGAACACTTCACCGTTGTAAAGTACGAGATTGTCCTGCGAGACTTATAATTCAAGTATCTTGAAAATGGTTAATGCTGGATAGTACAGACCTATGCATTTCTCTTCTCCCCAATCAGAGGAAAGTATTTATGAGAGTGAGGACTGGTACATTCCGAGCAGAAAGAATCCTTTCGAGCAGAAATTGATGTGGGAGAATACAGTTGAATTCCTCGTCCTTGCCCTCTGAGTGCTCAACTCATTGAAATTCGAGCGAATAAAATTGAAGCGAATGAAGACAGTCGTGGAATGCGAATGAACTGATCGTCCTTGGTCTGTTCTCTAATGGCGGAGCAAATCTGAGCAAATCAGGACAGACATTGCAAGAGGGATAATCCATCAAGTGGGGGAATGACACCTCTGTGGTGGTATGTTACGAAAGGTGAGATGAAGCCGTTCATTGGAGCATGCGACACGATAATGAAAGTATCCAGGGAAGGATAATAACCCACTGATTATGGTCCTAGCACGTGAGCCTAGATACCCTCAGGGGAAGTTTGTGCAATTCTCTTATCCGAATCTCCTCATCCTGTTTCTCGCATCCTTCTCTCCGTATAGCACGTATAGTGATTGCACTGTCTCAAGAAAAAGGGTCAGCGCATTATTTTTTTTAAATATCTCCATCCAATGTCATGCAAACCTCATATTTTAGACATCCTGGATGAGGAAAGAAATGTTCTGTCAAGTTAACAACAATTTCCCCCAATGTCTTACGTGCGATTGCATTTCCAAAGTAGAAAAGTGAAGAAGCAACCTTCAGGCAGATCCTTGGAATGTACGCCACTTGGGTGAACTTCGGCAAAAGTAAGAGCAGCCTACAAGCAGTTATGTGAATAAATCAGTTCTTGATATTTTTTTTTCATACGTTATCACTAGGGCTGTTACGATAGATCGATGCATCGATACTAGAGCTGTACCGGTGGTCACATTTTGCCGGTGGGCCGATGGTCGATTATTTTCTTATACCTATCGGCCGGTACCGGTGCCCGTGCCGGTGCCTATTGTGACGTGTAGAGAAGCAGCGAAAAAGCATTTGACAAAATTTTTCAAAAGTCAAATAGACATTATGAATGTACGTCCAATTTTATTATTGCTTCCACGCTGGGTATTTCGAATACACCCATGCATCGACCTGAAACATCGATAGTGCATCGATGCTGGGGGTGAGGGTGGGGGTGTCGGCGGATTCAGTCTTTTCTCACTGCGATCGGGATCCGGTTTCTGCCTCGTTTCCACCATTTCTTGCCTCGATCGGGCGCGGACCTATATCCGCCTTCCATAATCTGTCGCCTGTGATTCGAGGAGTTGGAGGGGGAGGTGTGACCTTCGCGACGGTGATAAAGCCTACCATACCTCAACTATCGAAAATGACATCAATACATGATGATGAACTGCGATAGTCCTAATTTTTTCCTATTACTGTTGAGAATCGGTTACCGAGCCCCGTTCACGTGGAATTTAAAAAATTTATCCTCGTTCAGCACGTTATTCTTCGGACATCGGGACCAGCTGGTTCCAAACCTGCCGATGGCCGATGTGGCCAACACCGGCGGCCGATACCGGTGGTAGCCGATACATCGGTACAGCCCTAATCGATACCACTATCGATGGTTGGAGGTATCGATAGTTTTTTCGACCATCGCGATGTATCGGCAAAAGATTTTTAAGGGGAAATATCCCATTGGATTGAGGCAAATACAGTCCGTCCAGGCGGGGAAAGGAAGAGGCAGCGTGACCCGCATGGGCTTGAAATTTATCACTATCTAATTCTGGAAATGCTGGGACTGACTATATGAAAGACGGGAAGGAAAAAAAAAACATGTCGGATCGGAGACAAGAAGTGGGAAAGAAGAGGGAGGGAAGACCGGGGATTTTATTTTTTTCTGTTTCATTCTTCGGCTCGATTTCATCAGGTTCATGCTGCGAAAGTGGACTGTTCTTATACTCCCCTTCATTTAGAAATGTATTAATACATTAGTTAATCCCTATATTCCCGTCTTTCTCTTTAATATACAAACTTAAATTTGTTAAATTTTTATCTTGCCGTGGGGTATTTTATTTCTTTACTTAAGGTGAACTCAAAGTGAATTTTTTACACAGACGCTGCTTATTATCGGCTGTACCGATGTTTCTGCAACCGCCGGTTTGGCACCATCGTTAGGTTTGCTATTTGCCGGTGCTGATATCCAAAGAAGACCGTGTAGAACGAACAAAAATAGAAAAAAAAAATCATGTGAACGGACTTGGCAACTGATTCTAAACGGTAATAAGAAAAATAGGCTGTCCTGATGCATCATCAATGAATGGATGTAGTCTTCAATAATTGAAGGCATCGTAGGTTTCATTACTCCTTGCGAAGGTCACACGTTCCCCCCGCACCTCCCGATCACAAGCGTGAGATTATGGAAGACGGATATAGGTCCGCGCTCCGATCGAGGCAAGAAACGATGGAAGACTATCCTACGCCCAATATCAGTCAGAAAAGATTGAAACCTCCGGCGCCCCCCCCCCTCCCATCCTCCGATGGATCTATAAACTATCGATAGTTCAGGTTGATGCATCGATGTTTTGAAAACTGATATCGTGACAGCCATAGTTATTACGACTATTTGCGTTCTGGCTGCATTTTAATTTGATTTTTTTTTTGCTTTTCTATTGTCCTCAAACCTAATTCTGTTCTTGCAGTTTTTTCGCGGGATGAATTGTGATTTTTTAAACTAACACCAGCATAGGATTCAACATGATATGCTTCCAAAGGCATCCTTATGCCCTAAAATCTTGCTTCATTCGTTTCAGGGGAGTGATCTGGCACCACTCTCACTCTGCTTCATATAGAGGAGGTTTGGATTTTAAATATATCTTTATCTTTTTTTTAGTGATAAAATTTACCAATTTGCCATTCATAAATAAGGCCGCCATGCCGTACGAAAACTTTAAAGTGATTCAATGCCTCTTGGACAAGTCAACGTCACCTGTACTTGTTCTAGTTGATTACCAGACTTCATAAGAAGCACAATAGCGATGCCGGGGCAGGAGCTCAGAACTCAGGAAGGTCATCAACCTAAGGGAAGTCCATTGGTACTTTGCTTGTCATGGACGGGTAGAAATCTTAGATATAAAGAGCCCTTTCGATTTTTATATTAATAGTAAGCACCTCTTAGTACTTCCTGCTCTGATTAAGTAACTGAGACACCCAGAAAAGCAGACAGCTCCCCTTAAGTCGTCCATCGACACTTCATTCGTCGGACAACAACAACGCTAACATTTTCTTGAGACTGTGATGCGTGCTGAATACAAAATATTTAAAAATACTCTCTTTACTAGGTCAGTACTCGAGACTAATTCGCTAATTCGAGAATGACGCCAAATAATTTAGGAGAATCTCGTCAACTGGAATCTCGTCCTTCATCCGCTTCGTTGAGTCACCATTTCAGGAAAACGGGCGAAGAGCGAAGCTAAGGACAGCTGGGTAGTGCAGACAGTCTCTTTTAGGACACGAATAGTTCTTTCAAGTAAGCGCTCCTCGAAAGCTTACTTTATGAATGTGCCCACAGCTACCGTTGATGCGCTTCGGTTCCATCACCAGCCTCGGTAGTTCTCGCATCCGAAAGAACTGTCGTGTTCCACCATTTCTTGCCCTGGTCACACGCCATTGACGATCTCCATAGGTCTGAAGCACTTTATTTTAATAGTCAAAAAGGATACAGGAGAGATCTAAGAGGCCAGGTACACTCGAAGGGAAAGAGAAAGAAATGAAATGAGGAGAGAGGAAGGGAAAAATTGAGAGGAGAAACTATACAATACGGTAGAAGGAAAATTCATACAATGTATTTTCTTTGTGAAAATGAAGGACAAAATTACCAGGTCATTCAAAATAAAAAGTACACCCTCGTATCAATTCATCATTATCACAGACCAATGATCATCACAAATCACGTTAGGGAATCGGTAGGAAGTCCATGTCCACAAAAAAGGCAGCATCTGATAACCTGGAGAATGTCACCGCGATAACGAATTCCCAATAACAGAGCCTTCTTATTCATTAAAACATGTGTTACTAAAGATGCCCTTTAAGATAATTTCTTTAAGCGCCTTATTTCCTTTTGATATAATACAACATCTAGCTTTAAAAAAAAGGGAGGAGGGGGTGAGGCGAGTTGGGTTTGGCTATGGCCATCCCTTGCTAAAATAAGCTATAATACTAATAGCAAAGTTTGAAGCACCAGGACTCCCGCAAAGTTTAAGGAAACTTCCCTCTGACTGATAACTTAATTTCTTTTAGTTATTATTATTATTATTATTAATAAAACAAACGCGCAATCGACCCATCATCTACTCTTATTCTTTGTGGGGATCTAATAAGAAAGGAAAAAGGATAAAGAGCAGTGAGAAGACCACAGGGGGAACGGACGGTTTTCAAAGGTACACTATACTGCGCTCACTGCATATACATATCTTTAAAATTTTCAAAATATTAAATTAAAAAAAATATATATATATGTTTTAAAATTAATTTTTAATTAATTTTAAAATTATTTTTAAAACAAAATTAATTTGAAAAATAATAATTGTATTATGTTTTTATTATTATTTTAATACATTTTAATACATTTTGCGGCATTTGAAAGAGGAATGACTCAGCTTTAAAGTGGTATCCTTACATTTAAAATATCTTCAACAGTTTCAGGAATTCGGATGCTCATATGAAGAGCAAACAAAAACTGCGTTTTTTTTTAAGCAGTGAGGAGAGGCTACGCCATCTGCTTCAGAGCGTTTGGCAACTCAGTTTTTGTTTGTTGTTCATGTGAGCTCCGAAATTTCTAAAACTGTTAAGATATTTGAAATGTAAGTACACCATTTCAAAACTTAAACATTCCTTTTTTAAAAAATACATTAAAATATATGCAGTGAGTGTAGTGCAGTGTACCGTTGCTAACTGTCCGTTTATTTTTGGCCAACCCTGTATTTTGAGAATAATCACTCTAATGCTGCGTAGCAGGTACCATGGCCTGGAATAGGCTATTCCTTTCGAAATGTGGACTGTTTTCCTCTCCGATGAACGTTCATAATTTTGTACTGCTTTTATATGATACGATAGAGGTTCCAAGAAATTGCGCATTTGTACTCTGAACTCACGAGTTTTCGAGATCGACATGAGATTCTCCAGGTAATCAGATCTTGGAATAGCTGCTCCTTTAAGTGGGTATTTAGCTACACATAACACTGCTTCGATTTTTGGGGTACGGCGGGGGTGAGGGTTCCATCCTCTTTGCATAAAGGGGGCGGCTTGTCTTGCACTGTTTTCCCCGAGGCAGACGACGTTAAATCCTTGTCGCCTTTCAGAGAAATAGGGGATGGCCACCTGAAAATATACACCCGAACATAAGAAAAGCTACGGTATTATGGTCTCACATATGAACATAATAGGTCGATCGCAAGAGTTTTCAGCTCCTCCAGCATTCGAATCCTGTTTTCTTTTTGCCATAATAATTCATACTATTCAAATGAAGATTAGCCAAATCTTTGCCAGTTGATATTTTTCGAAATAAGCTAATGGAAAAGAGCAGCTGGCAAGTTGAAAAAAGGTTATAGCCTCATATGCGAACATTTCTTAACCACTTACATAGTTGAATGGAAAATTGTGAGACTCTATGGCGAGGAAGGTGTTCATTCCTAAAAGGATCCCTTTTGGCATATTGATTTATATGTAAAATTGAAATCTCTCTACGTAAAGGAATTCGGGCATTCTCAGGAACTCAAATCTCTTTTGTTAACCTCATATGAACAGAAATTCCTTCTCTACAAACTTTTAATCATTTCTTAAAATAAGGCAACGATAGCTTGAATGAAACAGCAGAATGAGAGAACCAGCTCTCGTCAGAGATGACGTAAAAGAGGAAGGAATGAGCCAAGGCCATAAATAAATCCTTTCTCCTCCCTCTCAGCGGTTTTCTTCTCGAAATACATTGCGGATGAAGTGGCAATGCCTCACAACCGACATAAAAAAAAAAGAGATGAGAGATGCTGGGAGAAGAAGCTGCGGGCAAAATCTCATGCCTTCCTGACCAACAGGAAGCAAGCAGCAGATGGACTATACCTTTGAAAACCGCTCAAATCTACCAAGGAAGTCTACCTAACAAGGAGTCTCTTACTTGATAAAAGACGCTAGGTCGTCCAAAAACCTTGATTATCAACAGAACACCAGCTGTAAATGAAGCACAAGTCGAAAAATGTAAGGACTTTTTGAACCAGATTCGTTGATATGAGGTACCAGTATTGCTACTTCACACCCGATAAACCGTACTGTCGGTTAAAAGTCTTGCAATATTTTCTCACCATCGCATCATTAGCACAGACACAATTAATTGTGACAACCTAGGATAGTTATTGTTTCATGTCTGCGATGCTACACTGATTGCAATACCTTATCTGGAGTTTGGTTAGGATTATGACCACATTTTCCAGCAAAACTCCAATCAAAGTTACAATGGAATTCCATTGCATGAGTCACACAATGACTTCTTCCGGTGCTATTCCTGAGCGTCTGACGCTGCCACTCCCACACGAGATTAGCCATCCAGTAACGCAGCGTAGGTGCTCTTATCCACATCCTACCCTGGCGTTGTCCTATTCTGAGTTGGAATTCGTAAAGAGAACTTTTCTCTCTACCCCGGCATGGCGTTCGCCCTGGGATGAGAAGGATAGGGTTTGATCCGAGATGAGGCTACTTTTTAAATTCCATCTTCCTCTTAATTCCTTAGTCAAAGAGAAAGCTAACACCTCTTGGATCATAGAAGTTAGTCTGGTAGAAAAAGTCGCGGCTAAAGATCATCTCCATGAAACTGAATGGAGGTGTAAAATCTTGGACGTGTCAATTATCTAGCGAAACGGTTCTCAACCTGTGTGCTCGTTCTTCGACCATTCCCACCCCATACCGAACCCACTTAAAAGAAGAATCGGACAGTTGTTTCATCACTTTCTTCCGGTCTTCGGATGACCACATAAGCTCTTCGTGATGTACCCCGCTCATACTTTTCACTTCTGAAGAACCACATCTAATGCACGACACTTCTGACTTCAGCCTACTCACTTAGCACATTCGCTGACAGTGGAAATTTCAATGCCGTTGTCTAAATCGTCGCTAATCCATCACATTCGCCATGCACATTCCATGTAGCACATTCGCCGTGAAATACGTCATACGACGGTTTTGCGACGATTTAGACAACGGCACTGACATTCCCACTGGCAGCGAATGTGTTAATAAAGCGCATAGCAGGTGTGTAATATGAGTAAATTTTGATCAAAATTTACTCATATCGCGTGCTCCAGATATACACTTTCATTAAGAGAATCAAGGAGGAATGCGAAGATCAATATTTTTGCTGCAATAAAGATGCAGATTGCTTTTTGCTACCAGATATGATGTCTAACTTTTCTTATTCTGTGCATTAAAACAAATAAAGAAGTTCAGGTCCCGTCGATGCATTACAAGTGAACAACGTGAGGTCACTTCAAATTTTGAGCCTCATCTTGATTTTCTGGTCAACCGAAGGCAGGGGGAGGTATTGCGTTGACTTGAAAAAATAAATTGAAGTATGAGTACTTTATTTTTAAATGTTTTTTTTTTTTTGCTAAACAAACATGAATGAATTCAGGTGTCCTGATTAGATTTATTATTATTGTGCATCCATTCTCTACGCATTCGTTGGCGTTCTCACTTTTCTTTCTCAAACATTTAAAGAAGTACCGCTCTCATGGCATGTAAAGTCCGAAAGATAGGCCTTAACGAGTAAATCATTCTTCCCTGCTGGATAACCTTACCAGATGGATTCCGAGGCGAGCCTATTTCTTCTCGTGTGCGGTTGCTTTGTAGAAATGAAAGAATACACTATCCTAGGAGTTCAAAATTCCATGAGTCGGTGCTCCTAGTGATGAAAAATTTAATCCTGAGCATTTCCTACGACTACTGATCGAGCTTTGGATCCTGGAAAAGTTTCCTGTCTTTTGCCTGATTCTGCCTTCTGAAAATGTATGAAAATGAGTCTCACTTTTCCAGAGCTGGGTAGCTGTCTGGTGCAGTTCTGCATTGTCTGTTGAATTGGAACCCAGCGAGGAATCCCGCCATGAGAAAGACGACTGAGCAAACAACGGCTGTGATTAAAATCTTCCCATTTTCGTCCAAACTTCCTTCGGTCGCTGCCATCGGACCAGCAGAGAACAATTCTAAAAGAGAAAATAAAAGATTTCCCGTGCAAAATATTAAACATGAGTCGAGCGAATGCAACAATGACCTACTCGTAGAGCGATGAGGTATCAAACGATTTCACTCACCATTTTTTTGTGACGTGAGCAATCCATCTGACTCCGAGTGAGATGGCAAACGGCTTCCCACTGCGAGTAACAAACAGGTACATCTACTCAAGTTGATGCCTCAATGCGGTCTTTAAGCGTAGGTCTTGAAATTGACGTAACTTCTGGATAGAAGCCCAAGCCATCACCATTATAATATTATATTGCGTCCCTTATCAAGATTTTATATGCTAGAATATTCCAAGTTCAGTTCTGAACGTGTAAAAAAAAAATCTAAAAAATAGAAAGAATTTATGAGAAGTTTTCTAGAGAGTGGGAATGAAGACAGCGTAAGATACGTTCAAAGGAAAGGTACAGTCGAACAGTAGGAAAAGAAAAACATACCGATTGTCGCATTACGTTGGGGCCTCCTTGCTGGCTCGGAGTCCTCTGCGGGAACAGAAATAGCTGATAGGAATGCATTCTCCAAGATAAAGAACGAGACTAGGGGAATCCACTCACCGGAGATGGCATTGAGTATCATTCCTTTGCTTTCGCCCGCATTCCCTAAATGCGACATTATCTCTGGACATCTTAAGTTTTTGCCAGAACGGACATCTTGGACGTAGCGGAAGGGTTTATTTTCATTACTTCCATTGCCCACTTTAGCACAATGATTGTCTATCGTATCCCATGCACAGTAAGGGTCTTGAAGCTTCACACAGTCACTGCATTGCAAACAGAGATGAAGTACCAAGAATGTGTTTGGAACCATGAGGATGCCGGTGGAGACGAGAATGTGGAAAGCATGATGATGCAAGGACTCACCTGCAGGACTTGACGAGATCGCAACGATGAACAAGCAAGGCCTTGATCTGTTCATCTCCGATGACGACGATCTTTGCAGGTTCCCCCTCTTCTCGATAGCGATACATATTTACCACCCTTTTCGCATTACCAAACACTTCCAATTCCTCTACCACGACTGCATTCACTTTCTCTGCAGCCTCATCTTCATTGTAGACAATCTTTAGCACTCTTCCGTCATCTGCAATCACGACAGAGCTCTTAAGTTAGCTCTTAAGAAGTACCTAGAGAAGGAATATGAAATTTGAATTCCGGTTCTGATTGTTTTTTTTTTCCATTACCTGTTCCGACGAAAATGACATCACGAATGCCCCCATCCTCTATTGTAATATTCTCATCGACGACAATTCGGCTCAATCGAGCACTGGAAATTGAAATGCATGGAAGTGTCAGTGACGAAAATCCTCTTCCATGAATTTAAAAGCAATGGCGAGTACTCACTTATTCTCGTCTTGAGAAAGGACGAAGATGGGCTCTTGATAGATCGGCTGAACATGGTCATACATGAATGGATACAACTTGATGAAATTGACAGCATATTCAGATAGTAGCGTACTGTCATTCACTAGAGTGCTACCAGGTCGGGGGTCCGGCACCTGATGAGAACAACAGTATCTTCTATTTTCCTTCACGTTTATATATCTTGAGTTGCCCAAAGTCTGCTAAACTGCAATTTGCTTGGAGCATCAGCCTTTGAAACTAGGTAAGACTGAAGCCCGACATAAATGGGTACTTCCCAGGTAACTTTCGGAAGGACTATTCGTCGAAAGAGTAGGCACAGATTGCAGAAGCAGCCAAACTGTTCCTGTTTGTAGCGAATACTGCATAGACCATATCCTTGCCATTCTTCCTTATTCTCCTCGTCGTGGATTCTATCAATATGAGATCGGGACCATATGTAACGAATGACTTAACTTCTGATTTATTTGATCGGGGAAATGTTCTTTACTTACGAATTTCGGTGAATTGGAATGGAGAATCCCCTGGAATTTCACAATCCAGAGTTGCTTTTGAAAAGGAGGTCCATCTTCGTGAATGAGACCTGGGACCTCCTTTGTCTTTTTTCCATACCCGACCGACTCGCGAGTGCAAAATTGGAATGGAGAATCCCCTGGAATTTCACAATCCAGAGTTGCTTTTGAAAAGGAGGTCCATCTTCGTGAATGAGACCGGGGACCTCCTTTGTCTTTTTTCCATACCCGACCGACTCGCGAGTGCACTACATCCTGATTAAACAGTTAGCATGAAATACGTTTCTTGTTGTTTATCGAAGCTATAGAAAGACTGCAGATTCAAACATCTCTACCTTCCCGCATTGAAAAACTTCACAGGCTCTTTCTCGGAAGAAGAAATAGACGTAATCATCGTCTTCCATAGAGTTCACGAAATGTGGTTCTTAAATTCAAAGAATGTTCAGCGAAACCTTGCCAGTCAATCTAATGTACTAGAATAATATCAAAACAGAAAGTTACCATTGAGCTGCTTGAGGTCATACTGTTCGGTACGCAAAGGATGATCTTTCTCGTCGTCTTCGTGAGGCCTTCGATAGATCACTGGATCGATTCCTCCGAAGTCAAGCACCGTTCCCACATAGAGCCTTTTATCTAAGAAACGAAGTGATCGTGGGTTTTGATGACATACCGCTAGCTGTAGATTATTGGTGGAATGCATTACCTTGTGCGAAAAATCCAGTGGCATTATATCCTGGATGAAATGGACACAATCCCTTCCCTTCTTCTGGCCCACTGATCCATTTCTTAAAGAAAAGAAAATGAAGAAAAGTGTAGAGGACTAAAAAATACGGACTATTATGGACTATAATATAATAGGACTCAATCTCTTTACTATTTGCATATAAGGATAAACATGTGGGGGGGAAATGTCAATTTGTGTCTACCATGTAATTGACGCTCTTCTTTAACCCCTTAAATTGACTCGCCGTATATGTGCGGTCTGGCACCTGCCATCTTTCAATAGAATCACCGCACATATGCCTTCAAAAGTTCCCAGTTAAGGGGTTAATGAAGAAGCGATGACACTTTTTGGAATCATAGCCCTAATTCCACATTCCAGTCAAGTAAATCTGAAGGATTGGGGTAGTTGCGAAAGTCAAGGGATATGTTGCATTCATTTTAGATGGAGACATTGCAAGAAGGCACCCTCCAAAAGGATATATTGCAGAGATCATAATGGGCATGCGTGTCTTTCGGGATTCTCTTGTTCCTCTCAATCTCAGATTTTTCGCCCTGAAATGTGGCCCAGTCATCTTCAATATCAGCTGCCGTGTCACTGACTGAACTTTGGAGGCCCAATTGGAACTTGTAGGAATGGATATGCTTTGCCAACAAAAAGACCCTGCCGCCTGCACAGTGTCTCAATATCCACTTGAAAGGTTGGTTTCGATTCGGCCAAGTTATGGGGGAAGTGTTCAACTGATGCGAGGAGAGTCATCATGTGAATCTTCATGGAAATTCATCGTCTGCTCTGAAAACTGCATTAAACCAAATTTTTTGGTTTTCCGTCGCTCGCTCTGGCGGGAAGGGAGAGAAACAGGTCCTGTGCTGAGCGCAAGAGAAGTCAGACATCAGGGCTGCAAACGGTTTCATAATAAAAAAAATATATAAAATATATACTTATAGAGAAGAACTGGATGGGAAATCGATGATGAACTGGAAAACATGAGTATACCTCGTATGTCTTGCCTGGTAGTAATTAAGGAAATAGGCAGTGCCACCATGGACAGAATTGATTAAAAGTGAAGGACATCATGATCTCGTGGTGCAATCTGAGGCGTCCCGTCGTCATAAAAGCAGTTGTGTAAAAAATTTTCCAAATATGTTTGCCAGGATCCCAAAAATCATTGTCAAACGAGCACTTCAACATGATAATGTATGAGCCAGTCTTCATCCTCCAAGCGACCTTCAATATGGCCAACACTTTAGGTTAAGTAGCAATGTAGGGTTTTGTACTCCTCTTCCATAGGGCTACATGTCACAAAGCATTGAGAGACAGGAAGTATTCTCGATCTGTTGCCTGCAATACAAGAATCTAAATTTTACTAGCATCCAAAATAAATGTTATACGGTAATTTAGAGCTCGCCCGCGAAGTTGGAGTTGTGATCGTATTATTTCTGTCCTTCGCTGAGTAAGTCAACACCGCTTGAACATTATAAACGTGTGATTGTTAACCTTTGAGCGCTGGGCACGTGTCACGTCAGGAATGTCTAATTGGGTTTTCTCCATGCTCAGATTCATGTTCAGATTTTCATAGCTAAAAAATGGGCTGATTCCACTGTGCATGTCATACCGTTTCCGAAAAACATGAGAGATATGCCAAGGCTAACGCAGCAACATGGGACTGGGCGACAAAAATGCTCCAAGAGGGTGTAGCACAACATGCGTTACACCATCTTGGACCTTCTTGGAACAAGCTGACAGAACCTTTTAGATTCTCAAAATCAAACTTTCTGCAAGTTTTGATGAAGTGCTGTTTCAATCCGTCTTAGGCCACATGAGCCCATCCAAGTCGCCGCGCGACTTCCTGTTACGTACCTTGGAGCATTTTCATCGCCACGTCCCTTGGTAACTGCGCTATTGACCTGTTCAGCAAAAGACGGATAAAATGCCATCACAGCTCCTACTACGTGGTCGAGAACTACAGGGGGGAATTTCTTTGCTCTCTGCAGCAGCGATTCAGAAGAGAGCACGCATGCGTATTTATCTTCTAGCGACTCTCCTGATGCTAATACGCATGCGTCCTGTCTTCTGGAGAGCTGCTGGAGACAGCAAAGAAATACGCCCTACGTTACCTTGTAACGTTTCTTTTGGACGCCAGTATAGCTCACATGCAGGTACAGACCTACTGGCTAGAACAGAGTGCAGGCCTTCTTAAATGACACTTGAATGAGTGTTGAGACTAAATTAGATGCCTCACCTTTTCCGAAGAACATGCTGCAGCAGGTGCTGAAGAATGCTGAGAAATGGCACTTTTCTTATACCACGCAACCTTCCTTTTCTCTTCCTCGACAGATCGTACCCTGGCTCCTCTGCAGAGGAGGTTTTCGCCACATATTTTGGGTCTATCATTGCGTGTCAGCCTTTTCCAGCAACCAGGACTCCCTAATGTTCACTATATCTATGAACAATTCAGTAACAGAACTATATGAGTATCTTATGTTCCATTGAGTGAATCGAAAGAGAATGGACTAATGGAACCTTTTTAACTTCATCAGCCTGAGCAGCAGTGACTGATTGGAGGACTTCCTCTTTGCACCGTTTGATGGATTTATTGTCTGGGTAACTCGCCCTTCACACCATGAAAATGATTGCTTGATCTCGAGGCATGGATTAGTTCTCTGAAGATGATTGCTACCGATGGAGATTCCTGAGTGCGCTGGAGTGTTTCATTGCTTCAACATCAAGCAGCAAAGTTGAATCTTTGCATAGGTCTTACTTTCGAGATGCAATCTTAGCGACCACTTCATTTTTTTTCTTCCAAATTGAAAGGAATTTCGTATTCTGTGTCTCAGGCGTGACTCTTTTTCACGACAATACCCCATGCCTTAAAGCTTTGCCCACACAGCAAAAACGGAGACTTGGAATTGACTTATTTGAAAACGTGGAATTGGGTTGAAACTCCCTGATCGTAATATAATTGAGAACGTCCTGAAACAGAGTTGAGGCTCTCATGCTGCCGAAGACGTGCAACATCGATTCTCGCCGGAAATCTTGGAAAGCAACATCACCAGTGTCGAAGGAAATGGAAAATTGTATGGAACCCATTAAGGCTCACATTAGTTTATCACTTTCGTCTTTCAGCTGTCAGAAATGCAGAGAGGCACACACCTAATAAATATACAATTCGGTTAGGTATCACCAACATTATCAAGTTCAATTTTCACATTTTCATGTCTGGACGCAACATCTTCTTTGCTCCCCCTCTCCTTGATTTGGGACGAGACAGAAACCTCATGAACCTAATTTCCCACCCCAAACTTTGCTCCGCATGTTCAGTAGGGACCTTCCCTTGTGGTTGCCCAAGTTGTTTCACCTGTCCCTTCATATCTTCCTCTTTCTCCATCAAAGGCCCCAAGGGACATTTAAAAATCTTGCAACGTTTCACATGCTGCACCAAAGATGTCATTTATCTCATCTGCACCATCTACCATTCCGAACTTTACATACGTGAGACTGCACGTTCCTTGGGGGATCGGTTTGTGGAGCACATTCGGGTCATTGATATTAAATCTTCAGAGCCAGTTCAATCTCATTTCTGCCTTCCAAATCATCCTGTTGACAGTCGGAATGCAAGGTCTCCAACACTCTCACCCCTCTCAAGAATCTTGTTGTTACTTAGAAAATCATTCATCATCACCAGGAGAGCAGGTGCCAAGACAAAATAACATTTTGTCTTGGCACCTGCTCTCCTGGTGACCTTTCCATCCTTTCCATCCATTTCTTGTTTGACTCCCGATTTCCCTCTTTATTTATTTATTCATTACTTTTTTTTTACGTATTTTTTTTTCTTTCGATGGACCTTTCCTATTTTGTGATGAATATAAATCCTGTCAGCCAATCTTTCCTCGGATATATCTAACCAGACAAATCCTGCTTCTGTCCTGTCGTGCATGAGGGATCCTTTAGGAATATTTGAGTGAGATTTTGCTGGTTTCAATAAATGGAGAAAGCGATGGATTTTGTTTTTCCCATAGGACCTATTGCATGCGGCTCACTCAAATAATCCAAAGCATTACTGCAGCAATTAGTGACTTATTCCTGTTTCCGAGGTGCCAAAGTATCATATCTCACCGTACGTCACACTTTCTGCTCCTTACATTATGGAAATCTTAACCGACCATTCCGTTCTTACCCATTGTTCATTTTTTTACTTCACCTGGAAGAGGAAGGTGGCCAATTTTGTCGTATTGTTTGAACATTCCAGTATTTATGAATGAACGTGGACCTGAGCTTTCTTAAATTTAACATTTTAGCGGTTACTTTTGGGATAAAGGGAGGTCCTTTTCTAGACATACTTCATTTGTAGCTCGATGCGATTATTTGGTCCCTATGAAGCGTGAATATGAGACTCACCCATTTTCCATTATGATGAGATACTCCCATTTTCCTGTACTGGGGCTGGAAAGCATGAGTCCCACAAACCAGTACCGTCGTCTGCTGATCATCTTTTCTCTGGATGGCCAGGATCCTCACGTAATTCTTGCACAAGATCTGTGTTCCCTGAAAATATGATATACCAATTGGTGTCCTTAGGCTGCATTAAAATTTCACTTTCCTCTACCGTCTGCGGAATTGACTTCAGAGCCATTCCATACGTTCAGAAATAGCTGAACTGAGGGTAAGATCGAAATAATTCAATGGTGACTTCAATGAAAGAAAGTCTGGATTGATACTGACTGAAAAGGAAGAGATTCATGCAGTGCCCGTATAATTGTCAAAGAGTCAAAGGGAAGTATGCTATCTATTGAATGATGATCAGCCATAATTATTTCCCCCTTGTTTCATTGGCAGATCTGCAAACTTACTCAAATTGCTAGTTAATAGATCGAAAGCATCCATGAGGGATTCACCTCCTTATGAGGCTACTCATATTTTCACATCCAGGTCATTGGTTTTCCCTTCTTTGGTGTCGATAGAAGTGAGGATACCGAAGCGGAAAAAAATTCAAGGAAGTGGTACGTACTTCACTCTGTCCCATAGCCAGACACTGTTCAATGGCCTTACTACTTGCGCTCCATTCCATGACCGTGATATTATTCGCTTCCTGTTGGTCCAGTGTAAGTCCCACCACTTGATCTCTGCGCATAAAAGAGGAGCTGAATGAAGAATACATGTATTCATTCATTGACTAGTGCAGTTTATGTATTCTCTAAGTTAGTGGTTCCAGATTATTCCATTCAATAAATTATTAATATCATAATGATGAATTTAAATCTCTTTAATGAAACCTGTATAATATCGAATATGGAAGTTATTCTGAAGCACCACCTCTTGCCATAATCCTTTTCAAAATGAGTTGATTTAAACTGGAAATACGCAGCCGAGATTTCGAATAAATGGGCTATTATCCACTATTTTAAAGTTTTCAACTGTGTATCGGCAGACTCGGTGTCCAATTTCACCGAGTTACTCAATCCAGTCATTTGGAATGTAAGGAAACTGTTGAATCGGTTAATGACCCATAATGCAGAAGGGAGGGGTGGTACATAAACCTTCTGGTGGTCCCCCGTGTTAAGCGCTTATTATGACGAGGGGCGTACCGTGAGCAATGAGCCCTAATTTATTAGAGGAGAACCACAATTCGAACAAGCCAGAGATGTTATTAACACAAAATATGTTTTTGCTACTGATGGGCATCAGGAACTTCATTCTTTATGCCCAAATGGCGGCTAAGTAGTCATGGAAAATGGCACCTACTATGGATGGAGTATTGAAGCAAAAAGTTCTCGTAGAATTCTTCAGAAAAGAATAGATAACCCCTGAAAGCATTCATGTTTGACTGCAGAAAGTGCATGGCGAGTCTAGCAACAGTTATGCAAGTGTGAAATGGTGCGTTCTGCATTTCAACAGTGGAAACAATGACATCGAGGACACAAATTTTGTGGGCTGGGGTCTTGGAGTTACTTACTAGTGTCACTTTCAAAGTAGATCCCTTGGATATTCACACACCTCTGTCAGCATTGATGCAACTTCTGGAAACACCTCATAAAGCCCTCTATTGGAATGGCTAGAAGTTCACGTATTGAATTTGTTCAGATAATGCGGATGTCCTCAAATTTTCGGCTTCTCAGATGCATTTTCAGATTATGGAATAGGAAAAAATCACAGAGCCTGATTTAGCGAATGAGACGGGTGTTCAAGATCTATGGTGTTGAAAAGCCGAAGATTGGAGGGCATCTAGACTTAAAAAAATGCGACGCGTGAATTCCTAGCCTTTCTAATAGAGGACTTTATGAGGTGCCTCCAAATGCTGCAGGAGTGCTGTGGGCTTACGGGGATCCACTGATATCTCTTGATGCTCTTGTACGCTGCGTTCCTCATTACCACTTATGTACAATCCTACTGTCTTCTTCGCTTTTCTTTTCCATTGTTTTTTGGTTTTTTCGTTCATCAGGGCAAGTAACTTCTCCTACCAGAGTTGGTTCTGGCGACTCTGAACATGCAGGCTCGGATTGCAGCACATCCCAATAACTTTCCAAGTTAGGAACCTCAGTGTAGCAGAACTTTCCTTTCATCTGCTCTTTTTTATTCAGAGCCTGGTTTAGCAGAGAGATCTTTCGGGCACGGTTTCCGGTAGGGCTCAATTTCGTTTTGGTTACTGTTTCGAGGTTGGCAGCACCCATGAGCATCGTCGCATCCACCTCCACAGTACACGTTGCACTAGTCACTTTCCAGTGACATGAGCGTGAGCTCTCTCCAGGTAATGGAATGTGCTTCTGTGGTGGTTGTAGGATTGACTTAAGCTGTGAATGCAGTCATCTGACATGCTTTCAGCCATTCCCTATCCAATTCTTCTAAACTTCCTTAACTCTACCGAGAATTCCGAAAAAGATATGTTATGCACTGATAGTTTTGGCAGGACCGTGCCCCTGATGACGATCCTGCGGAACATTCAGGAACATTCAGGCTTGCTTCGCTTTCATTTCTCTTAAGTTACCATCTTCTCGTTTAGTTGGCAGTTTTTTGGGCATTTAACATTTGCTAGATTGAATATGTTGCCTGTTTTCCTTTTCTTATTCGTCCACAAGAATGGGTGTCTGTTGCAGTTGGCTAGCCACGCACAGCGCCTTTCCTGAGAGTTAAAAGTAGAAGTTGGTTTATGGCCTTTGTGTATTTCCTTCCACAGCACCTGCCGGTATTGGAGGTATGAGGGGGGATGAACCACATCCCAGACCTCATACTCGTCTT